ATTAGGGCAGCCCGAACTGCAGCTAAGGTCTCCAAAGATGTTCCTTTTGTGCCAGATGAGGATGTTGAATCAGTGTTCATGGCTACATGAGCAGTTAGTTCCCTTATTGTTTCTCAACTTCGCAGGAACCAAGTGAGGATGCAGTTTCCAACATGTCTCTTTTGTATGTTTGGGCTTCTTACAATGTTCACATACTACATCCTTCTTGTCTTCCTTCCTCCTGTCATTTTCTGAATCACCCCTGATCTAGGTGTAACCGCTACAAAGGCTGGTGTGGGTGGGTGAGGTTGCATCATAACCTTCCTTCTGGTCTATTCACTGTGTACAAATGAGTAAGCCTAAGAGAGAGTCACACTGTCTCTAGTCAAAATCTGCTGCCTCACAATATCATATTTTGAGTTCAGTCCTTGCAGAAACTCAAACACTCTTTTTGTCTCGATGTGCTTTCTATGGGTCTGAGCATCTTTGGGACTCTCCCACTCAAGAGTCTCTAAGTGATCAATCTCATGCCACAGGGACTTCAAGGTAGAGAAGTAGACCGACACCGGTTTCTCTCTTTGTTTAAGGGTATTCACTTCACATTTCAATTATGCTTTGGCAACATTAAGGGGTTGGGARTAAGTTTCTTTCATAACATCCCATATCTCCTTAACTGTCTTTGCTCACAAATAATTCCGGCTAATATGAGGCTGCATAGAATTACACAGCCATGTCATAACCAAGTAGTTTTCTTGCATCCACTTGGTATATGTCGGGTCTCCCTTGGGAGGTTCTTTCATATCTCCCAAGAGGTACCCTAATTTACCTCTTCCACCAATAGCCATCATGGCTGATTGGGCCCATTCCAAATAGTTTGATCCATCAAACTTTACGGTTGTAATCTGACCACCCATCTCAGAAATACTACCATAACTGATGTTCCCAAGGCTGCCTTCTGCCTGATTTTTAAACTCCATTTCTGTCAAGTCTCAAAAACAGCACTTGAACTACCAATCACAATCAAAACAGTATAGGCCTGATCTGTGTTCTCAGTGTATGTGCACAAAACTGATATAATTCTGATTTGAAACAAACTAGCCAACACAGCAGTAGCTGTCCGTAGATCTCTAATCCCGTAGGACTCTGAGAACAGCTTTAAAAAAATCTGATATGCTTGGGAAAGTTGGGGTTTTAATCAGTCCTTACAGTAAGCAATTCAGTTGCACAATCCAAACAGAACTGTATAGATAGGCTTGCAGTAGGGTTAATAAGAAACCCTAG